TTTGTCGTGTGGCATTCTAGAAAACGCCCCTTGTCGCAAGCCTTGTCGCGCAAGGCTTGTCGCAAGAACCGGTTTTTGTTACAAACCTTTGTCGCGCCGTGCCCGCCCGGGGGCCTGTTACAAGCCTAGCGTTCTTTGCCGTTCTCATATATATATATATATATATATATATCTATATGTGCCCAATAAGGGTCCCTATGTACCTAAAATAGCCCTTGATAACCCCGAAGGTCCCTTACAAGGGTCCCTTGAATGGTACACCGGCCCTGCAACCGAAACCCGAAGAGTAGCCCAGGAATGCAGAGAGTGCCCTTACAGGAACATGGTCCAGCATTGGGGTTGGGGTTTAAGGTTTAGGGTTTAGGGTTAACGGTTGAGGGTTTAGGGTTTAGGGCAAGAGAAGCTGACTTGTGACTGCTTGCCAGGGCGGGGTGCAAAACAAACACCAAACAAAACACGACTGGATTCTGGGCGAGGCTGGCCCAACCCCCTAAACCCTAAAGCCTAAACCCTAAAGCCTAAACCCTAAAGCCTAAACCCTAAAGCCTGAACCCTGCACCCTAAACCCTAAACCCTAAACCCTGAACCCTAAACCCTAAACCCTAAACCCGAAACCCTAAACCCAAAACCCTCAAACAAACCTTAAACCTTAAACCTACTAGCTCCGTTCGGCCTCCCGGTCACGTTCGGGAACACCCCAACGGGCGGCCGCGTGACGGAAGATGCCATGAGGTCATCCAAGGCACTCATATCCTGCTGAGTTTCGAGGAGGGGTGCTTATGCCCCTAGTATCCCTAAACCCTAAACCCTAAACCCTAAACCCTAAACCCTGAACCCTGAACCCTGAACCCTAAACCCTAAACCCGCACAGGGAATAAGAGGGGTTTAGAGTTTAGGGTTTAGGGTTAGGGTTTAGGGTTTAGGCTTTAGGGTTTAGGGCTACTAGACCCAGGAGTACCCTAAGGACTAAAAAGGGTGGCCTTTTTGGTTTTACGGAGCTTATAAGGGGACCCCCAACCCTTAAAGGATATGAGGGCCTACTCCGGGTCCGAGTACTATAGGATAAGATGATGCTAACTGTTTAGGGTTTAGGGTTTAGGGTTTGTAGGGCAAGGTGCCTGTACCCTAAACCCCTACACGTCATTTGGGAGGCAGGGGTTTAGGGGTTTAGGGTTTCAGGTTTAGGGTTAGAGTCTAGGGTTTGGGGTTTGGAGTTTGGGGCTTTGGGTTTTGGGACAACCCGCAGTGCCTCACTTGGCCTCGCAAGGCTTCGGATGAAGCTCTGCCTGGGCGAAGGGGCGTCAAGTCACGGGCTTGTAGGGTTTACAGTAAACTCCCTAAGTTAGGGTTTAGGGTTTAGGGTTTAGGGTTTCGGGTTTCGGGAGTAGGAACATGGTCCAAGGATGATTAGAGCTGAGAATTGCCTTTAGTATACCCTTTGGGGGTATGGGGATACGAATGTTCCAACTGTTTGGAAGTCACTGTAGGGTGTTCAGGTTCAGGGGACCTTTGGGATGGTGACTATTCTCCCTTCCCTAAACCCTAAACCCTAAACCCTAAACCCTAAACCCTAAACCCTAAACCGATCTTACCTTCGGACGGTTTCTTCAGGGGCTTAGCAGGGACCCTAACCCCGAAAAAATGGACTAAGGGCAAAATAACGGCCTACTCTGGGTCCTAGCCGTAGACCTGACCCTAGACCCCAAAGCCTAAACCCTGAACCCTAAACGCTAAACCCCTATAACCTATAAACCCTAAACCCTAAACCCTAAACCCTAAACCCTAAACCCTACTCTAGGCCCTAGGAGGTTCGCAGTGTGGTGAACCCAAAGCCTGGAGAACGCTACCGCAGTGTGCCTCTTCTCAAAGCCCCAGCTCCTGAATCAAAGACACCAACCTCAGACCTACAACACACTGTAGGGCTGAGGCTTTGTTTGGTTTAGGGTTTAGGGTTTAGGGTTTAGGGTTTAGGGTTTAGGGTTTAGGGTTTAGGGTTTAGGGTTTAGGGTTTAGGGTTTAGGGTTTAGGGGTAGGGTTTAGGGTTTAGGGTTTAGGGTTTAGGGTTTAGGGTTTAGGGTTTAGGGTTTAGGGTTTGGGGTTTAGGGTTTAGGGTTTAGGGCTTAGGGTTTCGGGTTTAGGGCTTAGGGCTGTTTAGGGTATAGGGTTTAGGGTTTAGGGTTTAGGGCTACCCTCTGAACTTGTTAAAGCCCCCGGGAGGCTGCAGAAGTGCTGGGCTCGCCCGCTGCAGCTTGGCCCACGCGAGGCGCATGCCTTCGCCCTCCTTCTGCTCCTGGGATGTGGCTAGAGGCACGAAACGCGACCCTGAACCCTAAACCCTAAACCCTAAACCCTGAACCCTTCAAGCCTAACCACTTCAAGCCTAACCACTTCAAGCCTAACCTCGAATCCCTTTTCCGGCCCTAAAACCCTAAACCCTAAACCCACGAGAGGTTGACGAGCTCGGTGCTTGGAACAACCAGCCACCGCCAAAGTTCAACTGAAAAGAACCCGGGAAACCTAGTGAGGGTTTGAGGTTTAGGCAAGTTTAGGGTTTAGGGTTGCAGGTTGAGGGCCTAGGTCTCTGGAAGCACTGGGCGACATGCCCACCTCCCTTTCCGAAACTCTATCAGGAAGGCTCCGAAGGCCTCTCCAAGTTTTGGGGGGGGGGGGGGGTTTTGGGGAGGCTCAAGTACCATGCTATGAGTTTTTGCTAAGGGGCTTTGGAGCCTAAGGGGAGCAGACGAATGCTGAGAGCTAAAGCTCTAACAAACGCACGTGAAGCCTCCTCGGTCGCCATCTTCCAAACCTCCATGCTGTTGCAGAAAGCGAGTCCCTCGCCTGCCGACGGAACGGTAGTGAGAGGGGGGGGGGGGGGGGGGTTAGGGGTTTAGGGTTTAGGGTTTAGGGTTTAGGGTTAAGGGCTTCATGAAACTACCAGAAAGCAGGCCGGCGGGAATGAGGTGAATTTCCCGGTGCAGGGCTTACAATAAGCTCCAGACAGTTGGAACATGGTTTAAGGATGGTGAGAGCCGGGATTCCCTTGAGTAACCCTAAACCCTAAACCCTAAACCATTAACCCTCTTGGGGTATGAGGAGAATGATGTTCCATTTTTGGGGAGGGTTTACTGTAGGGGGAGGGCGGGGGGAGGGGTAAGAAACCCCCCAAAACAAGATGGCATTCGAAGATCCGGACACAGGTTTAGCCTACAAACTTTAGGGTTTAGGGTTTAGCGTTTAGGGTAACTCTGTGAGAAAATCTTACATAGAAACCCGCTTGGGCCAAACAAAAGGGCAACAATATAACAACAAAGATTCCCAAGGTACCACCTACTTGTAAGAGCTTCCTCCTCATGCTCATCATGCTGCTAGCAGCAGCCAAGCCGGTGAACCCGATTTTTCGGTGTAGGCTTCGTAGGGTTCAGGGTGTATAGGGTTTAGGGTTGGGTTTAAGCGAGTTTATCAGTAGGATGTATTTGGTTTAGGGTTTGGTTTTCGGGCAACATGGCCAGGAAACGCGCGTAGAAGCTCTGCAACGCGGGACTACCGAGACTCCGGCCCTTGCTCACGTCCTCCTCTCGAGGGCTGCTGGGCCTGCCCCCGGTCAGGTTGTTGCCAGTATCGGTAGTTCAGGGTTAATCAGGGTTTAGGGCTTGGAGTTGGTGATCTCGGGGGATATGGGTTCAGGTTATTTTGTTAAGATTCTAGTAAGAAGTGGGCTTGGCTGCGTTGCAGTCTGCACGTGAGGTGGTTGACCGCACCAAAATCAGCCTCCAAACACGTAGCAACGCGGGACGCCCAGGCTGCGGAAACGGATGCCCCTACTTCTTCGTCTCCGTAAACTTTCCATGACCAGTCGCTAGAGCAGCTGGGGGTTTACGACAATAGGGGACCCGTAATATATAGACCCCCCAAAATGGTAGGATTCCCTTATGACACGGACCCCAAGAAGGTACCCCTATACCCTAAACCCTAAACCCTAAACCCTAAACCCATATGTTCGTAAACCCCCAGCTCGAACACTGCGCATCCGAAACAAGACACCGACTCTAGGAGTTCCCGCCTGGAGTTGCCGCTGGGAAGCTCAAGAATCTCAACTTCCGCCACGGGACAGATTGGCTCCTGGCAAGGGCCGGTTTTGACATGGGTTTAGGGTTTAGGGTTTAGGGTTTAGGGTTTAGGGTTTAGGGTTTAGGGTTTCGGGGTTAGGGTTTAGGGTTTTTACAACATCAACTGGGCCTCTTTGCCTCGACGCTCTCTTAACACGGAACTCTCATTTTAACTGCATACAGAACATCGTAGCGACAGCTGTAGATTTCCAGGTTCCAGAGCAAGATACGAAGAACGCAGAACAGATTCGCAGGAACAAGTGTCGAAACTGTCACCTATAGAGCCCTGAACTATATGCCGTCCTGGTTGTGCAACAAAAGGCATTCAGTTCGTCATTGAATATGGGAGATTCTCTTAGTTATGGGAACTTTGGGTACCCTGTACTATAAGGCTCCGGATTGTAGTAGGAACCTAAACTGTGAATCTCAAATTAGGAACCACTGCCCCATATGGCAAGCCGTGTTGACTGGCCCCAGTTCAATTTTGGGGCACTCCAATGCAGGCTATGCGTCATCTGCTTCAACTCTTAACGTTTTGCAAGAATATGCTTCTAAACAACCAAGTGGAGCCTTGAATCCTTGGAGCACCTTTTGAGATGTGTATATATATATATACACATAGGCCAACAACTGAACATGAACATCCTTGAAAGTCCAACTGCAAGTGTGATGTTTGTAATTCTAGCGCTCAGAAACACCTGGCTTCATGCAACGAAGGCTTCTCCGACCAGTGTGACATTGGGCTTCCGAGTTTCCTCTAGCCCCGAAACCCGAACCCATTTCGCGAGTGTTGGGTTGCAGGCTGTTGGTCGAGAGGCCGCATGCCTCACCCTGACAGATGAGGCGTGCTGCCACCATGGCGGCCTAGAGACGGAAGGAAACTGAGGAGTTCAGAGAGCATTGCAAAACGACTAGGGTGCGGAGTAAGGGAGCCTAGGCGCAGCAACACAATGTACGGGAGGAGGGCTTCTTCGAAACTGCACCTTTGACCTCAACTACACTTACCAGTACTTCGAAGAAACCCTAAATAGACTCACCCACACTCGTCCACATCGGTATGTCCCACAACAGGCCAGTACTTCGAAGAAAACCTAGATAGACCCACCCACAAAAAAGCTACCAAAGACCCTCGTCCACATTGGTATGTCCCACAATAGGGGCACCCGTTTGACAACCCTGAATTCTCAGCCTCCCAAAGCCAAAACTTGGCTTTCCCGGTGGTCTCCCTAAACCCTAAACCCTAAACCCGAAACCCTGTTAGGGTAATCTATAACGTTGGCACTGAAAACCGGAAGATCGCTGGGGGTCTCCGGCATCCGCCGCTGCCTTGGCGGCCTGGCAGCCATGGTTCAAAGGGGAAGATTTGGGATTTGACGTTTAGGGTTTAGGGTTTAGGGTTTAGGAGTTTCGGAGTCCACCCCAAACAGTGTAAGAGCGCTTCAAGAAAGGGGTCCATGACGGGGATCGCATTTGATGGCGGGGTTGGGGGGGCCTCGTAGTTTCTAGTACATAGCCTAAACCCTATCAGCGCCAAACCATGAACCCCGTGGGGCCTTGTAATTTTTGAAAATCCTTGGGGGGGGGGGGCTCTGACAGAAAATGTTCGTGAAAGATCATTGACATGACTTTCTGGGTTCACAGGGGGTGTCTAACAGCGCTTTGACACGATTGTAGGTCTAACAGCCCATCTTGGTGCATGGTCATGCAAGCCCATTATCGCAAAGGAAGCGTTCTCTCTCTCTCTCTCAGAGTCAGCCACAGGATGGGCCCTGAAAGTGCGGATCGTACACCCAAACCCTAGTTTAGAACCAAAACCTTAAACCCTAAACCCTAAACCCTAAACCCTAAACCCTACAACGTCGGGGGGCCTCCCCGGCTGCTTTAGCTGCCTCGAGCGCCGCTGCCGCAGACCCCGCGGTGCGCGGGCGTGAGGAGGTCGTGCGGGCCTCTTTAGGGTTTTTTTCTGTAGGCGTAGGGTTTAGGGTTTAGGGTTTAGGGCTTAGGGCTTAGGGTTTAGGGATGAGGGCTTATGGGTTAGGCACCCTAAACCCTCGAAACCCTAAACCCCAAAGGTGTTCATAATAGCGTTTAGGGTTTGGGGTTTAGGGTTTCTCTTGTGTAGGGTTTAGGGTTTAGAAGGCTCCGGCATCAGAGCCCTAAACCCTAAACCCCTAAACCTAAACCCTAAACCCTAAACCCTAAACCCTAAACCCTAAACCCTAAACCCTAAACCCTAAACCGCATCGTCCGATCTTCCGAGGCGGCCACGGTAGTGGGCCGAGAGAGCCAGGCATCGGATCCCAGGAGTGGGAAGCGGGAGCTGTGCGGCAACTCCGCAAGGCCTGGGTTTAGGGTTTAGGGTTTAGGGTTTAGGGTTTAGGGTTTAGGGTTTAGGGTTTAGGGTTTAGGGTTTAGGGTTTAGGGTTTAGGGTTTAGGGTTTAGGGCCTAGGGTTTAGGGTTTAGGGTTTAGGGGTCAGGGTTCAGGGTTCAGGGTTTAGGGTTCAGGGTCAAGGCTTAAGGGGGTTTCTTCGGGCTGAGGAGGGCTTTTTGGTGCTGATCTCGGGTTGATAGGATTCATCATGTAACGGAGGACATTTTTTGGAGGGTGGGTCTGTCGGACTCTGCTAGCCAGCTTCCGGCAATCGCTGAGTGCCGGGCTGAGAATGTCAGGATGCCAGGACGCCTCACAGTGAGCAAAGTGGAGGTTTCTGAAATTCGGGGTCTCTGATTTGGGGTCCTAGTGACAAGTAGGTGTTCCCAATTTTCGCTTCTCCGCAAGTGCATGCTCAAGTGGATTTGGGTCATGTGCTACGCCAGACAAGATGAACATGATCAGAGAAACCCTGCGCATGTATACACATAAGTAAACTAGGCTGCCCAGTAACCTAGGCTCAAAAAGGATGCCATTTTTTGCTTAAAGGGGTTCATAAGGGAACCTAAACCCCCCAAAAAGGGAATAAGGGTACTACTGGGCATCCCAGTAAATAGAAAGTATACAATATGCGTTCTCGGTACACATAAACCCAAAAACTGTTTATTGCGGGAGTGCACTCACTACTTTTCTTGTTTCATGCCTCCTGCATCTGTAAACAAGCTAGGCTGCAAGATTAGGGTTTAGGGTTACCGCTTAGGGTTCAGGGTTCAGGGTTCAGGGTTCAGGGTTCAGGGTTCAGGTTTCAGGGTTTAGGGTTTGAGGTTTGGGGTTTTTCTGTTTGTTAATATCGGGAACCAGGACCTAATTGATCAGGTTCCTAGAACCCTCTTATGGACACACTAAACTAGTCCCAACTCCGAAACCCAAAAACCGAAACCCGATTCCCTAAACCTACAGGCCCGAAAACCTAAGCCCTAAACCCTACAGGCCCTAAACCCTAAACTCTAAACCCTAAATCCTACATGCCCTAAACCCTAAACCCGAAACCCCAAACCCGAAACCCCAAACCCTGCAGGCGCTAAACCCCAAACCCTGCAGACCTGATGGTTCATGGAGTCGCCAGCGTAGTGCATACTCCGGGGCGTGGCCTGACGGAAACTGGGACTTCCCTAAACCAAACTTTCTAAACCCAAAATCCTAATCCTAAACCCTAAACCCTAAACCCTAAATCCTAAACCCTAAACCCTAGACCCTAAACCCTAAACCCTGAACTCGATCCGGTCCAGAACTGGCAAGGCTTGATTCAGCAAGTCCCGCGAGAGGCCCCGGACTTGGCTGTACTGGAATCCAAAAGCGATCAAACAACTAGGGTTTAGGGGTACAGTAGAGTTTACAGATTTCGGGGTTCAGGGTTTGGGGTTTAGGGGTTTAGTGGTTCAGGGGTTCAGGGGTTCAGGGGTTTAGGGTTTAGGGTTTAGGGATTAGGGTTTAGGGTTTCGGCTGCGCGGCGCCTCTAGCCGCTAGCCCCCCCTCCCCTCACAAAGCAGCTGCCTGCCAGAGAGGTGAGTCCAGCGGCTGCCATTGGCGCCGTCCCTCAGGGCTTGGGGTCTTTAGGGTTTTGGGGCTTGGGATTTGGGGTTTAGGGTTCAGGGTTTGGGGTTTAGGGTTTGGGGTTTAGGGTTTGGGGTTTGGTGTTTAGGGTTTCAGGTTGAAGGTTTTCAGGGTTTAGGGTTCTGGGATGCTGCTGGGGGGGGGGGGGGGTCTTTGTCTTGAGTAGGGCTTTGGGTACAATCTGGGTTGCTTAAAAGAGGGCTGCCCCCTGAATAGGGCCACCGGGTTACCTTGTTGGGGGTTCTCAGAACATACCATCTATTTCGGGGGACACTCATCACATGATAGCCAGGGACGGGATTGAAAACTTGAATTTCTGTGGGCTGCGGCTGAGGGCGTTAGGCACTCCGCCCGCCCGCCGGGCACGCCCATCGCCGAGAGGAGGGCGGGCTAAGGAAAGCTTCGGGGTTAGAGGTTTGGGCTCACTGAAATCTTAGGTGGGTATAGGGCTGGAGACGTGTGATGAAAGCAACTCGGATGCAAACCGATAGGTTCTGGACAAACGGCGAGATCTTCAAGGGTCTGGTTCAGGGTTTAGGGTCTAGGGTTTAGGGTTTAGGGCACGGGATGTGCCTTGACCTTTGCATGCCACCACCGGTTACCATGGCTTGTGCATCGCCTTGAACCAGATACCAAAACCAGCACAAGCACATCTTGGCGGCACACCCTGAACCGAACCCCACCCAAAACCCTCAACCCTCAACCCTAAACCAAACGCCCTACAACGTACACCCTAAACCCTCACCCTAAACCCTAAAGCCTAAACCCTAAACCCTAAACCTTAAACCCTAACCCTAAACCCTAAACCCAAAAACCCTAAACCCGAAGCCCTAAACCTCGCAAAAACAACTGCACAATGCATGTTTTGGGGGATGACCTGCCCAGGGTAGACAGTCACATCCAGCCTGCAGGCATCCTTTATCCTGTTTCGGGTTCAGGGTTTAGGGTTTAGGGTTTAGGGTTTAGGGTTTAGGGTTTAGGGTTTAGGGTTTAGGGTTTAGGGATTAGGGTTTAGGGTTTAGGGTTTAGGGTCACAACAACTTGTCACTGTTTTGGGAGTCTGGGGTACCAGTTACCGTAAGGGGGCTTGAGCCTTGCCCCCCTTCCTTGTAAGGGGCCTTGTTACTAGGGACGGGCCTCCCCGCAAGCGGCCTTCCCCTGTAAAGGGATGGGGGTTTAGGAACAGGGTTGAGGGTCACGGTTTAGGGTTTGGGGTTTAGGGTTTAGGGGCTTAAGGGCTTAAGGGTTTAAGGGTTTAAGGGTTTAGGGTTTAGGGCCTTTCCTTGCAAAGGGGCCTTCCCCGTAAGGGGCCTCTTCGTAAGGGGGCCCCTGTAAAGGAGCTCTCCCAACAAGGAATTCCCTGCAAAAGGGGCGGCCCCGCCCACGAGAGCCTAGACCCTAAACCCTCAACCCTAAACCCTAAACCCTCAACCCTAAACCCTAAACCTTATGATAGTTCGTAGTATTGTGGAGCAGAGCTGCATCGAAGCACTCGGCTGTAGCCAGGCAGGCACCAGAAGTTGCCCTGACACCCCCCCCTTGTAAGAAGCAGAGCAACGCGGTGCAGGCAACTTCCATATTGAAAAGGCCCCTAAACCCCCAACCCTAAACCCTAAACCCTAAACCCCTAAACTTCCCTAAACTTCCCTAAACTTCCCTAAACTTCCCTAAACTTCCCTAAACCCCTAAAAGTAGTATTGTTAAGCATTATAGGTTTCGCCTACGAAAAGGAGAGGCTGCAGCAGGTGGCAACTGGCAGACCTCGTCTCAAAAACGACATCGCGAGCGGAATCGGCCCCCGAAATCCGCCCCCGCCCCAGGGTTTAGGCTTCAGGGTTTAGGGTTTAGGGTTTAGGGGGTTGAGGGTGCAAGCCACATGTTTCCTTTTTGTTCTCCTCCGCACCGAAATCGTGATACTCCTCCAGTGTGGAGCTGCCCTCATTGGAAACCCAACTGTCTAATTAAGTCGAATTAGATGGAGGTTTCCGCATTCAGGGGTACCTCATTAAGGTCCTGATAATAAGCCAATCCTACTATTGGGGGTCTATCTAAGGGATCCCCTGACTTGAGTAAACCCTCTAGATACCGATGCCGAGACTGACAGCATGGCAGGTGCAGAGTCCACCTGTGGTGCGAGACGTTTGCTTCAAGAATCCTGGTGCTGGCTCTTGTGGTAGAGCTCCGCCATCCGAGGGACGGCTCCGGCCTTCTTGATGGCCCTCATGGTCATGACGTCGCGATTGAAGGACAGAATATGAAGTGCTTGATAGGCCTCCTCCTCAGCCTTAGGCCTGCTGCTGTTCATCAGCTGCACGAGCGGCGGGATGGCTCCAGCATCTCTGATGGCAATCTTGCTCTCGTCATCCAGCGCCAGGTTCCGGAGTGCTCCTGCGGCCAACTCCTGGGCCTCAGGAACGGCGCTGCTCAGGAGCTGCACCAGCGGCGGGATGGCTCCGGCATCTCTGATGGCAATCACGTTGTCGTCATCCATGGCCAGGTTCGCGAGTGCTCCTGCGGCCTCCTGAGCCACAGGCGTGCGGCTGCTCAGGAGCTGCACCAGCGGCGGAATGGCGCCTGCATTTCTGATGGCAATCATGTTCTCGTCATTGAGCGCCAGGTTGTGGAGCGCTGCCGTGGCAAGTTCCTGGGCCACAGGCGTGCTGCTGTGTAGCAGCTGCACGAGTGGCTGGATGGCTCCGGCATTTCTGATGGCAATCATGTTGTCCTCATTGAAGGCCAATTTCCAGAGCGCTCCCGCGGCCCTTGCCCTAGCCCCAGGCGTACCACTGCTCAGGACCGTCACCAGCAGCGGGATGGCGCCGGCAGCTGCGTTGGCAATCAGGTTGTCGTCGTCGTCATTGTCCGCCACGAACTGTAGCGCTGCCACGGCCAGTCGCCGAGCCTTGGGCGTGCCACTGCTCAGGAGCTGCACCAGCAGCGGAATGGCGCCGGCAGTTGCGACGGCAATCTTGTTGTCGTTGTTGTTGGCTGAAAGGTTCGCGAGCGCTCCCGCTGCCCGTTCCCGAGCCTTGAGCGTGCCACTGCTCAGGAGCTGCACCAGCAGCGGGATGGCGCCGGCAGTTGCGACGGCAATCCTGTTGTCGTTGTTAACTGAAAGGTTCCCGAGCGCTCCTGCGGCCTCCTGAGCCGCAGGCGTGTGGCTGCTCAGGAGCTGCACCAGCGGCGGGATGGCACCGGCAGTTGCGATGGCAACTTTGTTAACGTCGTTGCTGTACGAAAGGTTCCAGAGCGCTCCCGCTGCCAGTTGCCGAGCCTGAGGCGTGCCGCTGCTCAGGAGCTGCACCAGCAGCGGGATGGCGCCGGCAGTTGCGATGGCAATGCTGTTGTTCTCATTGTAGGCGAGGTCCCCAAGCTCGCGGGCAGCCTTTTCCTGGACCTCTGGAGCTGCAAAGTTCTGAAGGTCTTCGAGAAGAGAATCGAAAGAGATCCCTGCGCGGCGATCTGCCTGCACTTGCACGCCGGGCTGGGCGTCTTCTCCCTGTGTTGCTTCTGGCTTGGCATCATTCAGATGCTCCTCTGCTTGGACGTAGAGGCGGTGGAGCTCCCGAAGCGATTTGCTGCAGCTCTCTATGTCTGATGCAGCGATGCTGATGCCCGGACCTGGGCCCTTGATCTCCTTCCCATTGCGGCCATTGCGGTCGTGCGGCTTCGGGTCCAGGGAGCTGGAGTCGAAGACCTTTCGCAGGCGAGAAACGACGGCCGTGCGCAGTGCCTCCAAGAAGTCCTTCAGAAATGCAACCCCCCCCTCGTGCCAAATGAAGGCTATCGCAAGCCTGTCGCCGCCATCACAGAAGGGCACGCAGACGGCCTTCGATTGCTCTCTGTTGAAGGCCCTGCAGTGCTCGTCCATGCAGTCTGCCACCTGCACGAGGGCGTAGTCAGCGTGGGCATGGGACCAGCGGTCCTCCACCAAGTCGAAGTTATCCAAGTGTGCGGCCGCCATCACCAGGGCCAGCGGCCTTCCTTCCAGCATCCCCAGTAGCTTCCCATAGAAGGCCTTTCCCCGGAGCAGCGTCAATGGGTCATAGTACATCGCATTGAAATCTTTCCGGTCCATCGCGGCTTGAACGAATTCCGCGTCCAGCCTCGCCCTCTGAACCTCCTGCTCCTGCCAATCTTCTTTCCTAGGATGGCCTTTGAAACCCTCTGAAAGGTATTCCTGAATAGGGCTTAGGGTTTAGGGTTTAGGGTTTAGGGTTTAGGGTTTAGGGTTTAGGGTTTAGGGTTTAGGGTTTAGGGTTTAGGGTTTAGGGTTTAGCCTCTTAAACCCAAGAAGGGAAACCAAAAACTATCCCAAGGGCCTACCTAGTTTCTGCTGGACGCTGAGCTTGTTCGGGTCGCCCCCGACCTGTCTCAGTTGCTCAGCGGAGTTCTGCAGCTTCTGCATGGTCACGTCCCGCCTCTTCCTGAACTCCTCTTGCAGGTGTTGCTCCAGCTGCAACTGCTCCAAGTCCGCCTTGAAAGCAGCGAAGGCCATGGCGGCAGACTCCTTTCCCATGTTGTGCTCGATCTGCTTGCAGGGTTTACCCTCAGAGCCCTCAACAACTAGTAACAATAATAGCAACAGTAGTACTACTAATATAAGACTATATTAAGAGTAATACTAGTACTACTAAGAACATAACGGAAACAATGGTAATTATTGTAATAGTAGTACTACTCATTGAATATTAACAATACAATCGCAGGCAGAACGCATAAAAATCAGGATTTAAATATGCTGTTGACATCCGGAGCTGAGATCTGGATCATGACTTGGGGAGAAACACGCGAACACGCCATCCATGTGGGGCTGACATATGCTGAACCCTGATGGTTCTTGCTGATCCATCTGCTTGGCTCAAACAGACTTTGGGTTCGCGGGAGATCATCTTCATTGTTAATACAAAAAGGGTTTAGGTTTCATTTCGGGTTTAGGATTTAGGGTTTAGAGTTTAGGGTTCAGGGGAAAGCATAACAATGACATGCAGAAACAGTAACATAACAATTGTAGTTGTGATGGCCATAATACCCCATCTAAGCTTCATCCTGCAAGCGGTCTTACTAAAACTCGAACACTGCAGCGCCTCCAGCCAATGCTTTCGCCCGCGTATTCCTGTAATTAAGGGACTCTAATCAAGGTTTACAAGAATAAGGGACCCCCTGAAATAGACCCCCCAAATAGTAGGGTTCCCTTATCAGAAGGACCCCAATAAAGTACCCCGAATTTCGGAAACCCCCATATGGGCATTTCCCAAATTGAGGGTAGCCCTTTGATATACCCCAAGTAGAATCGAATCCGCTTAACGGGACCCAGCCCTATCTTGGGAAACCCCCATATAGGAATTATAATAGTAAACCCTAAACCCTAAAGCCTAAAGCCTAAACCCTAAACCCCGAATCTTAGTTCTGTTTCTACGACTTCCCCGGACACAGCTTAAGGCTTCAAAGGGCCGGTAGCGCCTGCTGATCCTCCATGAGCTGTGCTTGGTTCAGAAGTTTAGGGTTTAGGGTTTAGGGTTTAGGGTTTAGGTGTAGGGTTTCCCATCGAAAAGGGTTGCGGGGTGGCGCCCCGGGTTGCACGCGACATCCCACCCCAGACCACATGAATCCCAAATTTTGAGGGTAGTTGCATGGTCCCTTCTCGGGAACCCATATATTCCACTTTTCTGCCCCATAAAACCCATGGGCCCATACTTCAGAACCCTTTCGAGAAGCTAAGGGACCATATTAAGGGACCTTGTAGCTTCCCTTTGACAAAAAATGGGATCATCTACCCTATAGCGTCCGCCACCAGAAACTCGACTAGGGTATATGGGCCGTACACATTACACATTTAGGGAAAATTTCGTCCCCAAGGTCGTAGGCGTAGTGCTATGTGATACTGGGCCTTGCGGCATCAGAAGCTTTTGCTCACCGCAAATGCCGAGACTCGTTCTCCGTGGTGGAGCATTCAGCAGACTCAGCGGAATGGAGGGCTGCGAGGGGCTGAGAGACTTATAGGGTTTAGGGTGTTTACATACATATATGTAGAGAGAGAGAGAGAGAGAGAGAGAGAGCGAATTCAACTAAAGTTAACCGCTTCTTTGGGCTTACCAAGAGGATTCTTGCAGCCAAGGACTTACAGGCCCAGAAAAGGCTCAGCGCCTGCGAGCCCTGGCATCTACAGCTCGAAGGGACTCTTGGTAACCGGATCGGCGGCTTCCAGCCACCTGGACTGAGGGACTGAGTCAGAGATCGGCAGGCACTTTTTAAATATCATCATCGTGTAGCCTTTGCTGCATATTATATATATATATATGTATGAAGATACATAATAAGAAGATAGCTTCATTGTATTTATCCGATGTTCGTTTCCACCGTTTGCTTGACTTGCAAGATTTCCAGCACCAGCACCCCAGACGCGAATCCACGATGCTGCACAAGCATCCATCTTTTCCTAATTCCTGCTCCCAAAAGCCCTAAACCCTAAACCCTAAACCCTGAACCCTAAACCCTAAACCCCAAATTCCTCTCCACCGAATCTTTGTTTCTCTGAGAAAGCGGCTGGAAGGCAGCCAGGCACAGGGCGCCCAAGGACACTTGCAAAGCGTAGAGTCCTGGGAGGCTTTGGGAGGCAAAATGTTTTAGGGTTTAGGGTTTACGCTTTAGGGTTTAGGGGTTTAGGATAAACCCTGTATACAAGTGGGATCATCTTTCAGTGCTAGACTTCGTCCCCAAGGGCCAAGAGCTCACAGTTTCAGCAGTTGAGGCTCCTTTATGGATTCAAGGGTCCCCAGAGAAAGGTTCTTGCTGCGAGCGGGCTGCGCATCACCTGGGCCCAGCCACCCTTTGCCAGGATTTGAGGCACCTGAGGCCAGCGAAAGGGGCGTTTAAATCCCGAAGCCTTCCGTCAACGCGTTTCAAGAACAGTCCATACCCAAATCCATTACAAAGAGCGTCTTAGACTCAATAACTAGCAGAGGCCCGAATATTCTTGTGCATCTCCCTTCAATACCATCCCAAACGCTCCGCAAGGGAGAAGACATCACGACCAGGCTGCCTTGGCGTAAAGCCACATCGCCAGCAAGTTACCTGTTTAGGTTTTAGGGTTTAGGGTTTAGGGATTAATTAGGGGTTTAGGGTTTCGGGTTTAGGGTTTAGGGTTTAGGGGAGCTTCGGACTACGAAGCCTCAGCAGGGAAGGCTTTGGAGTTGACTTAGTCAGGGCCTCGGAACCCTAAACCCTAAACCCTAAACCCTAAACCCTAAACCCTAAACCCTAATGAAGTACCGTTTCGTAGTAGTCCCACAGCAAACTCTCATGCTTAACAACCCTAAGTACCTCAACACTTGAAACCCAGAGGGCTGGCTATGAACCCTACTTTGCGTTGTACGGCAAGAAGACTAAAGCAGAGCACGCATGAACATATTCCCCCCCGCCCCCACCCCTACATCCTGACTGGCGCACGGAAAACGAAGGAACAGCAACCTACAGGAAGCAAGGGCGAATGAACATACCACCTTAGACCCTGAACCCTAAACCCTAAACCCTCGGCCTTAAACCCTAAACCCTAAACCCTCAACCCCAACACTAGCACGAAGAAAAGGGCCTGGCACATCGTGAAGTCCGGCGAAAAGACCGGCGCGTGGTCCTCCCCACCTGAGACTGCCAGGGTTCTAGGGTTCGGGTTTGGGGTTTAGGGTTTAGGGTTTAGGGCTTAAGGGCTAAGGGCTAAGGGCTTAAGGGCTAAGGGCTAAGGGCTTGGAGCTTAGGGCTTAGGGCTTAGGGCTTAGGGAAGTAGCAGCTTTGGCACACGAGAACTGACACATGGGGGGGGCGGTCCAGCGCATGTCGGGAAACGTCAGTCCAAAAGCAGTGTAAACGCTACACGCTCAGCTACGCTTCCTGACATCTGCAATGTGCGGACGGATGGCCCCTAGTAAACCTACACCCTAAACCCTTAGCCCCTATCCCTGCGTCAGCTCTAATTGTCAGAAGTCGCTCCTTCGCAGCCCGTCTCTCGCTCTCCACGAGCTCCAGTTAAGCTTTCATGGCCCCCTAAACGATCCTGCCTCATGATCCAATCTGGTGGCACGCAGGACAAGGCGGGCGCACAGCCTCATGTGCGGTTTAGGGTTTAGGGTTTAGGGTTTAAGGTTTAGGGCCAAGGGGGGAAAAGAGTGAGGAGAGGTGAGGAGGGCTTGGGGAGACTGATGGAAGAGCATGGAAAACCTGATGGTCTCTGCATGGGAAAGAAGCCCACAACTCCCTAGAGGCCCTGGAAGGCCCATTCTAGTAGGCTGAAGTCTGAAGCCCATCTCCAACAACACCCTAAACCCTAAACCCTAAACCCTGAACCCTAAACCCTAAACCCTACACCCTAAACCCTAAGCCCTGAACCCTAACCGTAAACCCTAAACCCTAAACCCTAAAGCCTACGGTAGCACGCAGCGCCTCCCGCGATAGCCGTCAAGGTTGGCACCAGCATGGAGGGAGCTGGCGAAGCTGCGAGCCTCGCAGTTTCGTCCGTCTCTCCCTAAACCCTAAACCCTAAACCCTAAACCCTAAACCCTCTTTTCCCAACTTACAGCTGTTGACTGAGCCACTGTAAACTAATTACTCTTTGCTTAAGAACCCCCAAAAAAAGACAAAATTCAAATGATCCCCGTATTACGTGCAAGAACATTCTGTTGAAGGGTTCTTCAGCAGGCAGTACTAAAAGGGTGGCTGAGATTGGGTCCAGCTCTCTGTTCAGCCGGGGATTCAGGGGTTTAGGGTTTAGGGTTTGGGGTTTGGGGTTTAGGGTTTAGGGTTTAGGATTTAGGGTTTGGGGTTTAGGGTTTAGGGTTTAGGGTTTAGCATTGATTCCAGATGTCCAGGAGTCTGCGGCTTCGGTTCCCGACGCCCCTTTTAAGGAAGGTGCCCCTCATCTCCCTCAAGCCGAAGACCTAAACCCTAAACCCTAAACCCCAAACCCCAAACCCTAAACCCTAAACCCCAAACCCTAAACCCCAAACCCGAAACCTATAAACTATAAACTGCGCAAAGCCCGTCCAAAATGCCCGCAACCTATGTTCCGTCAAGCCGCGTAGCCCAGCGGCCTAGACTTCCCCCAAAAATCTTAAGTAGGGTTTAGGGTTTAGGGTTTAGGGTTTAGGGTTTAGGGTTTAGGGTCCGCCGACCCTGGCGGCGTGTTGGATGGGAAAAGGAGGTGAAACCTCCCTCTTTCCCTCCTTACCCCCCCAAAACGCGGGGGGGGGGGGGGGAGGGGGGGGGTGGTGGGGGGGGGGTCGGTGCACAATTTTTTCGTGGAGGACCGCGCCACCCGCACAGCGTAACAGGGGTTTCAGCACGGGGGGTAGGGGCGCCCTCAGCAAAATCAGCGTTTCCCCGCCTCCCCCCCCCTGCTGCCCCCCCCCCCACCCGCCCCCCTCCCCCCCCCCCCACCCCCCCCCACCCCACCCCCCCCCAACCCCCCCCCCAACCCCCCCCCCCCCCCAAACCCCCCCCCCCACCCCCCCCCCCCCCCCAACCCCACCCCCCCCAACCCCACCCCCCCACCCCCCACCCCCCACCCCCCCCCCCCCCCCCCCCCACCCCCTCCCCCCCCACCTGTCTTTTTGGCTTGAGCTTGTCCTGGTGCTACCCCCTACCCCCCCCCAAACGATTCACAGAACTCTGCCGGGGATGATCTTCCATGCGAGCGGGTCTCAACTATGCTCCAGCGGGGTCGGCGGCTTGAGCCGGAGGCTCTTAAATTTCGGGTTTGCTCAACCATCCCCATAAACCTCCGAAGCCTAAAGTTCTATGACGCAGTACAGTAAAACCACTGCATAAGAAACCACTGTTTAAGAAACTGAGCCCCTAGACCCGGGAATATTGCTCGATTTGCGGTTGCCTTATAGCTAAGAAACTTAGGGTACCCTAGTGTTTTGGGGTCAGTTTCTAAAAAAAACCCTGCCCGCAACACCCCCCGGGTCTACGCCAAAAACGCGCAGGAGTCACATTCTAGAGGTTTTCAGCCCTGAAAAGCTCTAAAACGTGACTCCCCCGCGCCTCTGGCCTGACCCTACCCCAAAAACGCGCGGGAGTCACATTCTAGAGGTTTTCAGCCCTGAAAAGCTCTAAAACGTGACTCCCCCGCGCCTCTGGCCTGACCCTACCCCAAAAACGCGCGGGAGTCACATTCTAGAGGTTTTCAGCCCTGAAGAGCTCTAAAACGTGACTCCCCCGCGCCTCTGGCCTGACCCTACCCCAAAAACGCGGCGGGAGCCAAGTTCGGGAACCCTTCCCACCACCATTCCTTCCCGAACCCTTCCCACCACCATTCCTGAAACGAACATGGGTTTGGTCTAGTGGTATAGCGTACTCCCTTAAGAAATTAGTTTAGAAACCAAGCCTACCCTAGGCTCAAACCCCCCCGGGTACATGGGCAATGGAAACTAAGAAACTTAGTGTACCCTATCGCCGGAAGTCCGTTTTCTTATACAGCGTTTTTACTGTAAGCAATACACGGGAAACTTCAGAAACCGTAAGAAGCTCCATATCCAAGCCCTGCAAGCCCCGAACTCCGAGAGCCCCAAAACCCTAAACCCTAAGCCCCTAAACCCCAAAACGGTTTAGGGGGGCTTAGGGTTTAGGGTTTAGGGTTTACCCTAAACCCTAAACCCACAAAGCCCCAAACTCCGAAGTTGGTAGTCGGGCGGCGCTAGGAAGCCACCGGCTGAGAGAGCTTGCGCTGCCAGCAGGGACATCGCGCGAGCTTTCCTCGGGCGACTTGACAGAGAGGCGTTGACCTGGTTTGGGGTTTAGGGTTTAGGGTTTAAGTTTAGGGTTTGGGGTTTAGGGATTAGGGTTGAGGGTTCTTGGGTCAAGCTTCTTAGCTGGGTAGGGTATATTTTATTCATGCATAGGGGAGTATACGGGGACGAAACATCTAGGCTCCTGTATTCCCTCCCCCTTGATTCAATCGCAAGACATCGCAAGCTGCGGCGCCCAACCTCCCAAGACACACAAGCCAGCGCATGGTAGGTGGACAGAAACGGCAAATATCCAGAAGTTTTGGATTTCGGCGTCTGATTTTGCTTTGCGATTGAATAAATGTACCTTCCACAGCAATAGCGCAGCTCGACTCATGTTCAGTGGCGACTGAAACTGGCTCAAGACTACAATGAGTCCATGGCGCACCCTAAACCCTAAACCCTAAACCCTAAACCCTAAACCCTAAACCCTAAACCCTAAACCCTAAACCCTAAACCCTAAACCCTAAACCCTAAACCCTAAACCCTAAACCCTAAACCCTAAACCCTAAACCCTACACCTAAACCCTAAACCCTAAACCCTAAACCCTAAACCCTAAACCCTAAACCCTAAACCCTAAACCCTAAACCCTAAACCCTAAACCCTAAACCCTAAACCCTAAACCCTAAACCCTAAACCCTAAACCCTAAACCCTGCCCAGCCGCCCGGACAGCGAAGGCAACGCCATGCCTTGCTGAATTGACTCGGCGCTTCAGGGAGTGCGAGAGAAAGAGAGAGAGGGAGAAAGGAAGAACAAGAAAGAGAGGTTTAGGGTTTAGGGTTTAGGGTTTAGGGTTTAGGGTTTAGGGTTTGGTGTTTGGGGTTTAGGGTTTAGGGCTTAGAGTTTAGGGAGAGAGGTAAAGGAAAGATACAGAGAGAAAGAAGGAGAAAGCCCGAGACGGGCGTGATGGGCCACTTCAAGAACAGCTTGGCCGCAAAAACCGTGGGGCTTGAAGACTGTGCCCTGAGGGAGCCTGCTGTGCTTGCCTCTGACCTCCCTAAGTCCCGTTTAGTGCCAACCTGTACCCTAAATAGCACAAGGGCTCAGCATCGCAATACTAGGAATCTCAAAAAAAGGCACAGAACTTGGAGAAATCTCGGAGGGCTGGGAGCTCCGAACCCCATCTCTAGAGGCCAGCGGCTCGCCAGGAGGATGGCCGGCGGAGCCGCCAGGGGAAAGACGCTGGAGAAGGAGCCGATTTGGGCGTCCTTCATCCCGTAAACGTCCTGAAGCTCGTGGGGGTTTAGGGTTTAGGGTTTTCTTAGCTGCGACTGACTGAGGGTGTTCGTGATGGAGTTCGTGGGGCAACTTCTCCGAATTGTATGGCCGATTGCCGCTCAGAGTCGTTGAGGAACTGAGGCAACAGCGCCACGAAGTCGAAAGTGGGGGTGATCCTGGGTGGGGGTTGAGGTTCCCATCCACTCTAATCCCTTAGAAGTGGCCCTCCGTCGTCTATGCAGGGTTGATCATGGGGTTTATATAAGGAACCCTAAACCCTAAACCCTAACCCTAAACCCTAAACCCTAAACCCCAAACCCCAAACCCTAAACCCCGGTAGCCCGTCCGGGTCCCTGGCAGAAGGACAAGCCCGCGGGGGCCGGCATGCGAATGAAACAAGAAGCCGTCTCTTCTGAACGCAAACTAGCTGGTAGCTTCAAGGTTTCCAACATTATGAATGGGCTCCTGTGCTCAAAAAACCATAATAACGGAGAATCAAGAAATGAACCCTATAAGCCCGAAACCCTAAACCCTAAACCCTAAGCCTAAACCCTAAACCCTAAACCCTAAACCCTAACCCAGCAGAGGGTCATCGTGGTGGAGGAGAAGAGCAGCCAGAGCTTCGGGGTGCGCGCTGCAACCAAAAGGGCCGAGGAGATGGGCGTGAGATCTCTTTGAATCCTTGGGGCTTCTCGAGGGTTTAGGGTTTAGGGTTTAGGGTTTAGGGCTTAGGGCTCAGGGTTTTCGGTGACGGTTGGGGTATCTCTTTGAACCCTTGGCTTCGAGGCGTTCAGGGCTGCAGAAGGCGGGGGGATGTGGGAGTTATCGGTACCAGGGGTGTTATAAGGCTTAGTCGTCCAGTAACCTGCGGGAATTGAAGGTGAACCTTTGGGATTCTAAGGGGATTATATTCCCCAAAAAAGGTTAAAGGTTACCTACTCTAACAAACGTACTCTTGAGGTATAGGGAAGTGTTGCCATCATGGGGACCCATGGAGGGCCCAGAGTCTAGGAGATTCTCAGCTTTGTGGAAAGGGAATTGGGGAGAATGTGGGGTCCTTGGGCAAACCTGGGCCCTTATGAGAAACCCAAACCCTAAACCCTAAACCCTAAACCCCAAACCCTAAACCCTAAACCCTAAACCCTGAACCCCCAAGACCTCAAACCCTAACTCCTCCACAAATTTTCCGGCAGGGCGCTCGGTAGCTCCAGTCTCTGGGGCGCTCTTCGCTGGCTGCTGCGGCTCGCAGTTGCCGAGAGCCACCAGAGAAGTCACAGCACCCACGCCTTGTACCAACAGGGCTTAGGGTTTAGGGCTTCGGGTACTGTAGGGTTCAGGGTTTAGGGTTTAGGGCTTCGGGTACTGTAGGGTTTAGGGTTTAGGGCTTAGGGTTTAGGGCTTCGGGTACTGTAGGGTTCAGGGTTTAGGGTGTAGGGTTTAGGGCTTCGGGTACTGTAGGGTTTAGGGTTTCGGCTTTCGGGTTTAGGGTTTAGGGCTTCGGGTTTGTTTATAGGGTTTGCGGTTTATAGGGCTTCGGGTTACTTACAGAGTTTTTGGCTTTGGGTGAAGGGCTTAGGGCGTAGAATCTCAAGGGTTTTAAAGACCTCCAAGTTTGCTTCTGCAGCATGAGCCCCTGACACAGCTTCGGAAGCACAGTCGAGAATGTATCTCAATTCACCTATTGTTTATTTTGTAGAATCGCTATTCATATGCTGTACAAATGTTATGTTAATGTGCTTGCATCCTAAATTCCCTCGTCACGGGGGTTTCCTATCCCTAAACCCTAAACCCGCAACCCTAAACCCTAAACCCTAAACCCTACATGGGATTCCAAGGCGTAACTCGGCGCCTGCGTAGGTCAGCAAGAGCCGGCGCCAGCTCTTTAGGCGGCTGAGCCTGAGCCATGTCGTAGGAGAGAGGAGTTTCGGGTTTAGAGGGCTTAGGGTTCAGGGCTCTTAGGGTGTAGGGTTTAGGGTTTGGGGTTTGGGGTTTAGGGTTTGGGGTTTTGGGTTTAGGGTTGAGGGTTTGGGGCTTAGGGTTTAGAGTCCAAGCGCCTGAGGGTTAGTCAGGTTTCTAGGGTTCGTAGGGCTTTTAAGGTTTAGGGCCTCTCTGCTGCCTAGTTTATGGGACTTGTTGCGATCTCCTTTTTGTGGGCCTAAACCCTAAACCCTACAGTAAACCCTAAACCCTAAACCGTGGGCGGTTTTTGTTGGGGGGAATCTGCGGCTTCCCCCCGAAACCCAGCTTGGGGGCAGGAGGCCGCCCAGCAGGGAACCCAGGGACGCGCCCACGCGCATGGCGACTTGGCCGATGCTCAGGGCCTGGCAGGATCATCCCCGAAAAAGGGGCCTATTTAGGGTTTAGGGTTTAGGGTTTAGGGTTTAGGGTTTAGGGTTTAGGGTTTAGGGTTTAGGGTTTGATGCCCTGAAACCCTCTGAAAAATGTTCCTGAACATGATCCTCTTAAACCCAATAAGGCAAAATTTAACATGTCCGAAGGGCCTAATTAGGGCCCAACATGCCAGGATAAGCCGCAATTGGCGCTAAGCTTTTGAACATCCCTTGTTCGTTTTGCATCGAAAGACCCTTCTTTTTCCGTGAGGGGAGGGGGGGGGAAGCTCCCGACATTCAGCTTCCACAGTCAAGCACGCGGACTATGGAACATTGGCTGAAAATGGTGGGTTTCCGGTTGGGCCGGTTTCTTCATGCAAAGAGGTAGGCGGAAGGTTGGGTATATAGGTGGAGGTCATGGAATCCCTAAACCCTGAACCCTAAACCCTAAACATGGCGCTTGCAGCCTGCACTTGCCCACCGCCGCTGAAGACCGTTTTGATGCTGACGGCTGCCGCCGTCCACACAGCGGCCGTCCCGAACCTACTGCGGTGGGATTTAATAGGGTAGGGGTTTTGCAGCGCACACACCCTTAAACCAACTAGTCTGAACTTCTGATAGTACCCTCAACCCTCATAGACTCAGAACAAATAACTCGGACCTGACAAACCGTGAGAACCCTTACATATATCAACCCGCTTCCGCCCTATCCCTCCCCCACATCCTAAGCCCCAAACCCATGAAGTTCATCGACGTTAACAAAACTCCCCGGAGCTTTCGTGGCAACCTCCCCCCAAACTGAACCCTGAATACTTAACCCTAAACCCTAAACCCAAAACCCCAAACCCTAAACCCAAAACCCAAAACCCTAAACCCCAAACCCTAAACCCCAAACCGAAACCCTGCCTGGAAGCTGCGAAGCTGGCAACGAGGGCTTTCCCCGGGCCGGGGGCCCGGGCCATGGACCCAAAGCTGCCGGCCAGGAGCCTAGGATTGGGGTTTAGGGTTTGGGGTTTAGGGTTTAGGGCTTAGGGTTTAGGGTTTGGGGTTTAGGGTTTAGGGTTTAGGGTTTAGGGTTTAGGGTTTAAGGTTTAGGGTTTAGGGTTAAGGGTTATAGGGTTCAAGGTTTAGGGCTTATGTTTTAGGGTTTGGGGTTGGTTTAGGGCTTTTTGGGAGGGGGGGGGGGGGTTGTGGGCGCTTCTCTAGCCTCGTACTTTAGATCCTTACTCAACCAGAGCCAGGGTACAGCAATATTGCGAAGAGGGACCGCATGCCTCCAATCGCATCCACCACGGCACCACCAAGCAGCTTGCCCAGGGCATAAGCGAACTGCCCTTGCCAAGGGTGCTGCAAGAGAGTATCTGAACTTCTACGCCCGGCGCGTGCCCTAATGATGCATCGTCAACGGGTCAGCTGCAGCACTGTATGCCTTGGGGACACAGCGACCCCTAACATCGCGATCCTCTACCCCATACTAGATTTCTTAGAGCGCATGGACTAAAACCTTTCAGGTTCATCTAGTACCCAAGGTGCTTTAGGGTTTCCCCGCCTGTGGCATTGAGCCGTCCCACCTGGGCGATGTCCACGTTGACCGCCGCGTCTCGCGTCATGTCCAATAAGGCCAGGCTGACCACGGACCGGAAGCCTCGGCAGGTTATCGAGTTTAGGGTTCAGGGTTTAGGATTCAGGGTTTAGGGTTTAGGGTTTAGAGGTTGCTGGATTTTGCTAGTGGGCCTAGAAGTCTAAAGGACCGTTGCAGAGTCCAAGGGTTAGGGATACCGATAATCTAGATGTGTTTACGGTAGTAGTTGCATCTGCTGCCCCACTCCGGCTGAATGTTCGCCCCTAGAAACCCCGCAAACCCACTAAACTATAACGGCCCGATACACCCTCTAAGCCCTCTCCAGAAATCCTCTAAGCCCCATGATCCCTCAATAACCCCTCTAAAGCCTATACATCCTACAAACTCTGTATACTGTATACACCCTCTAAACCCCAACAACCTGATAAACCCTATGAAACCCATACACCCCTTTGCAGGCCCCCTGAAGGTCGAACCGACCGAAGCCTCCCCGAACGCTGGGCGAAAAGAACCCTACATGGTTACCCTACTTCGGGTTGTCGTACCCTAAACCCTAAACCCAAGCCCACAACCCTAGTACAGGGTGGAGGATCCAAACTTCAAGGTTCACTTGGCTTCCCCCCGAAAAATCGGTGGTCGAACGCCAAGCGTCTGAACGCCGTGCCGGCCACCGAGCAGATGGCCAAAAGGGAGCGCTGCTTCTCTGCCGTCATCGTCATGGCGGGAGCTGTAAGAAAAATGGTGGTGGATTAGGAGCTGGGAGAGGTTTCAGGTTTCAGTGTCCCCAAACCCTAAACCCTAAACCCTAAACCCTAATACCCTAATACACCCTAAACCCTCTGGTCTTTGAGCTTTTTGCGTGAGATGTTGGGTTCAAGGCTTGCTGTATGGTCCAGGCTTCGGCTTGTCTGAGCCGCTTCTTCGTTTGGAAGGGCTTAAGGGCTTATAGGGTTTATACGGTTTAGGGCTAGGGCAACTTTTCGCGTAAGTGCCGTCTGCATTGAGAATCAGAGCCTTGGATGGCTGCTTGGTAGGGATGAAGCCCCATGCACCCATATAGCAAGTAGTCAAACCCAACAGGGACAGTACAGAAGCATAAAATATTCACAATACAAGTAGCTGTGCGCTCTGGGGAGCCTCAAGGAGTTCTGAGTGTTGCTTGCCAAGGTTCAGGGTTTCAGTGCTTCAGGGTAGTCGGTAGGGCTTCCTGGCTTCGGCAAGAGATGCTGAGCTTCCAAACTCCCCTCCGATTGAACAATCGCTTTTGTATTCTTGAATGCAACAACAGCCCCCCATCCTGACAATGCTGACACCGACCCTGCCCGTTGCACGAAGTCTCGAAACTTAGCGAGGCTCATAGTGGGACACTGTTGACTTTCTTCTCGGAGCCAGTTAGAGGAACACGGCCTTTCTAGGCACGATTATACTGACGGCTCGCAAAAAACTTCGTAATACCGAAGTGTGCACTTGGCTGCCTGACTTCTGATGCCTTTGCCCTGATGCTCTGAGACTTCTCATGCTTCCTTGCTCCTGGGCTTCCATCACTTCGCACAAAAACGAATGAAACTGATGAGTCCTCTCCCCTCATGCTTGCTCAGGCCGCTTTAGGCCCTGACAAAACTGCGCGTAACTCCAGTCGCACGCGACATGCTTGGGAACGGGAAACAGGTCGCCAGTTGCCCTGGAGAGTTCCGCATGAAGTGCTGCATCCTGTCCAACACCTGTACACGGAAGTGAGTCAACTACTGGCCGAGCTGGGTCGGCCCGTCAAATCGCACGAGTGCTCGCAGGCGGTCACTTGCCAATGTACTCACCATCTTTGAAGAATGTCCCATACTGTGGCTCGTCGTATGCATTCGCGTGAATTTTCAACCACTTGGTCGAGCTCTTCACGACGTCATCCAGCTCGGCCGACAAGTCTTCCTTGGCCTCGTGTTTAGCTGACAGCTCAGAATGCTTCTTCCGCAGTGTGGCGAGGAATCTCTTGTGCTCAGTTCGGTGAGTGATGACCTGGGTGTTTCTTTAAAGCCCCGTTGAAAATTATTTATGAATAGGTTCCCTTAAAAGGGAAGAAAGGGAAACTTAAAATTCTCCTTTAAAACAGTACCCAGTTTCATTCGGTATCTGGTACTTGTCGAACAAGGCCTCTTCCGCCCTAAAGTGAGCCTCCACTGCGTCGATGACACCCCCCAGTTCCTCAACCCATCTTGACGACTCCTTCAGCGCGACCACGGCAGACCACAGATCTTGGTGCTGCTGGTCCATCTCGGGAATATTCACGGACTTGATCTTGTCTGCCATGGCACGGAGGCGTTTTTGTGAACGAAACTCCCAGTATACCTTGTCTTGAAACATATGTCTAGCCTGAGCCCTAATTCCCTAAATCGGTGGTACCGTGAAGCCCCATTGAGATGCTTGAGGACGCGAACTCCAAGCACCAAACTTTGGGGACCAAACGAACCTGAAAACATGGGATCACCTGCCCTGTACTACGAAAATCCCGATGAGGGTATATGGGACCCTAAACACTAAACCCTACACCCTAAACCCTAAAACCCTTTAAGGTCCATCAAGTCCCCATGGTTTAAGGGTTTCGGGTGCAGTGGTTTGAGTAACAAGCGAGACAACAAGGAAGGCAAGTTGGATCTAGCGCTTGTGGACAATTTCGGGATGTTCAGGGTTTAGGGTTTAGGGTTTAGGGTTTAGGGTTTAGGGTTTAGGAACCTCAAAAGGCCCAGGAACGACAAAGGAACTCTGAGCGAAGTTTGCAGGAATGGGTTTAGGGGTCACTGCTTGGGGTTTGGGGTTTAGGGTTTAGGGTTTAGGGTTTGGGGCATACGAGGCACTTTGGCCCTGGTCTCTGAGCCGAGAAAAACCCCTAACGCCCTTTGAAGCCTTGACCCAGCTCAGCTCGTGGCTAGGGTTTAGGGTTTAGGGTTTAGGGTTTAGGGTTTAGGGTTTGGGGTTTGGGGTTTGGGGTTTGGGGTTTGGGGTTTGGGGTTTGGGGTTTGGGGTTTGGGGTTTGGGGTTTGGGGTTCTGGACATACAGTGAATCCTGAGCCCTAAACACCAAACCCTCAACCAGGAAATTCCGCATGAGTTTGAGAGTTGATTTCGAATAAGAGCCTGACACCCATCGGGCCTTGATCCTACCCTAACGTGAGGGTACAGAAACAACGGCACTCTAGGGTTTAGGGTTTAGGGTTTGGGGTTTGGGGTTTAGGGACCCTTCCGAAACTTCAAGGAGGGTTCAACAGGATTCTTTGCCACGCCTTGCAAGAGGCAAGGTCAGCCAAGGCACTTCCTTCGGAAGTGCAACAAAAGCCAGGACTTCCAGAAGTCTTTGGATCCGAAAGGACTGGCAAGAGTGCTGAGGGTTTAGGGTTTATAGGGTTTAGGGCCAACTGGGTGACTTTCGTGGCTGCGATCCCTTCACCCAAAGAACTTCAACGCACCACCTAGGTTTCTCTGCCGGCTCAGAAGCTAGAGAAGCAAAGGTGCCAGAGATGCTGCTAGGCATATTTGGGAATGCTGAGATGCTGCTAGGATCCCGAAAGGGTACCCCTCAAATGGGTGGTCATCTCAGGTGTCCGGCAGCGAGCTTTCTCAGTCCTCCTGGCGAATTCAGTTAGGGTCTAGGGTCTAGGGTCTAGGGTTTAGGGTTTAGGGTTAATTAAGGGTTAAGGGTTAAGGGTTGAGTGAGGGTTAAGGGTTTAGGATTTAGAGGCATTTCCGGAAACAAACATACCCCATCGCGAATGTACACGTGGGCACACACACACAGACACGCACGCGCACGAATACTCGCACATCGTGACTCAACTTGCAAGCAGCACAAACTCAAGAGCAATGCCCCTCACTCCCTCAACACCTCTTCAACCCTAAACCCTAAACCCTAAACCCTAAACTCTAAACTCTAAACCCCTCAGTTTCATTCCGAATTCCCAAAGACTCGACGAAGAGTCCTCCACCGGAGCCGCATAGACTTTCCTGGCGCAAGCAGCTTGGTGAAGCTCAGGAGGGGACGAGGTGTGGCACATCTCATCAGGGCTTCTGAGGCCGACTTGGGTTTAGGGTTTAGGGTTTAGGGGTTAGGGTTTAGGGTTTGGGGTTTAGGGTTTAGGGTTTAGGGTTTAGGGTTTAGGGTTTAGGGTTTAGGCCTTAGGGTCCCCCTTCAGGGGAATTGAGGTGTATGACGGCTCGGTTCCACGAATTCGGCCCCAGCTTGGGAAGGCTCAGCTGAGCCAGGGTCCAATGAGGACGCTCCAAGAGCAAATCCGTAGATCCAACGATTTGGGGCATGCGAAACCAGCGCCGATTCTGCAAGGAGCCAGATGCCCAGCCCTACATTCTGAACACAAAAAACCTAAGCCCTAAACCCTAAACTTTAAACCCTGAACCCTGAACCCTAAAACCCTAAACCCTAAACCCTAAACCCTAAACCCTAAACCCTAAACCCTAAACTTGAACCCTCAACCAAAAGCCCAAGACCCATCTGAGCTCCGGGCTTTACCGGCTTGGGCGGAGGCTCACCGAGTAGTTCCAAAGACTCCGAGGCTCCTCGGGCAAAGAAACTCGGTTTAGGGTTTAGGGTTTAGGGTTTAGGGTTTAGGGTTTAGGGTTTAGGGTTTAGGGTTTAGGGTTTAGGTTTAGGGTTTGGCCCTTAAAACCCTCTGAACAAATATTCCTATATAAGGTCCTCTTAAACCCAATACGGGAAGAGACAAAAACATCCCAAGGGCCTACTTAGTTAACATGGGGATCGGCCATGAAGTCTCGATTGCCACGAGGAAGTGGCGACTTGCTCTGTTTCGGGTCTAGGGCTTAAGGCTTAGGGTTTAGGGCACGATCGGGAAGACATTAAACAACTCTTGCACTACTCTAGCGGTGGCATGTCTGCGTGAGTTTGCACATGGCTCAGGCGCACGCCCTCCAGCTTCAGCAAGAGAACTTGGCCACAGTGGTATGGTGGGGCCTTGGGAGCAGCAAGCCCTGCCAACGTGTGTCACTTGAAATTGCCAAGATTTCGGGCGTACCTTGCTATCCCTGGACTCGAGATCATGGGAGGCCATCAGCTCAGGCAAGATGGGTCTAGTGACCAGAGCTTTCTTTTAAGGGTTTTCCGGTGCTTGAGCTGGCAGCTTCCGATTGTGAGGCAGTGCAGGCACATCGCTCTTTTGAGACTGGCAGCTTCCCAGGCACAAATCCAAGAAGCGTGGTGCCAAGGCTAACAAGACCAAGGCACTTGGCTCCGGACAAGAGGCTGGGAGCGTCAATTCAGCTTGGCTTTGCAAAAAGGGGGCGTCAGCCGGAAATGCTGAAAGCGGCCTGTACAGAACCCTAAACCCTAAACCCTAAACCCTAAACCCTAAACCCTAAACCCTTTCAAGACGCATATAGCTTTGCCTTCATTTACTCGACTCCAAGGCTAACAAGACCGTGGCAGTCAAGCAATGCAGGGCAGAGCGCACCGTCTGATTCCGGCAGGGTCGGTGGAGCGATACACAGTCCTGTTGAACGATATCTGAAGTCGATCCAATGACTATTTTCTTTACCCGTGATTCTATCATCCTTCCTCGTTCCCGCTGTCCCCGGCATGCAACTCACGCGCCACCGGCCCATGCAACTAACTCACCAGGAGGAATTCAAAAACTGAGAGAGCAGCAGCAGAATAAATCTATGCTGAGCTTTCTGGGGGTGTCCGAATTTAGGGGTACCTCTTTTGGGGTCCTTCTTATACGGGAATCCTAGGTCTACTATCGGGGTCCCTTACTTTCGTAAACCCCCTTCTGAGTCTACGGCACATTGTCAGCCCTCGTAGCTGGGAAAGCCGAGGCTGGAGTCGGTGTTGAGCCCACCCTCCACCACAATCATGGGCTCCTCCTCCTCTTCCTCCTCCTCCTCGTCACGCCCCGACGCTGCGGGCGCTGCCTTGAAGACCAGATGAGCCCTAAAAATTGGGATCATCTACCCTATGCTACCATAATCCAAGATTATATATGTCTATGGTCTTCGTATGGACCTTCAAGCCTACAAAGGGTTCCTTTACCCCAAGGTGCCGGGACTCTGGGCCAAAGGCGGGGGCGGTGCGCGTTGCGGAGGCTGCGGATCGCTCGGTCCAAGAGAGGGCCGTCGGCCCTTAAGGCCAGGATGTGCTGCTTGCCGAGCTCCGGGGTATTCGGGTTGCCTGAGCTTTTGGGACATTAGGGTTTATAGGGTTTAGGGTTTAGGGTTTACGGTTTAGGGTTTAGGGTGAAGACATGTCGATTTGCCTGCGCAAGTATCACTTACAACGATGCAGTCAACACGTCGTGTCTCAACAAAAACCATGAAGCAAAGCTGCGAGTACCATCTTCAGTCAGCTCCAGGAGCTGTGCCTGCGTGAGGGGCACGAAGAGGGCCTTAACAGGTGACCACTCCGGAGCCACCTCGCATCCGGCGTTCAGAACGCGCCGGTGCAAGTCGGCCAAGGGACCCTCGGCATCAAAGAGCAGCTCGTTGACGTGTGGGGCATTGGCCTTCCGCGTGAGCTTGAAGCAGATCACGCCATCGGGGCTTAAGGGCATCATCTCGTCCCGACTGTTGCGCAAAGCCGTCAGCAAGTCGTCGGTGGACTTCGCGTCCTCCATACCTTGGACCTCCGTCTCCCCATCGCGGACTGCCTCCACATGAGAAGTCTCGGATGCAACTTCGTGCGGCGCCTGTTCTTGGAGAGCCCCTGCTGACTGCTCAAGCTCCTCCTCGAGCCCCTCCAGAACACAAGCAATGTGAGGCCTCTCAGCAGCGAAGGAGAGGATGATTTTCACCAAAGGCTTTGGCGCCATTTTCCCACAGCTGCACGCACGCAGGGCTTGATAGATTCCCAGCCCCATCGGCGCAGCAAGACGCCAGGCTCGCGCGAGCGCCACACGTAGAGCCGCGCCCGCAGCTGCGCGACGCTCTTCCAGTGGCACCATCGCTACAGATAATGCCACTTCTCCGCAGTCATGGCACCGTTGGTCTGGCAAGCATGCCTGGCAGGTCCATTTCGAGGAGCTGGCCCCGACGGATGCGAGCAGCTCTGCACACGCTGATTGGCCGTTCAACACAGCAATGTCCATCAGGCGAAATGGATCGTAAATATCGACTGTCATACCATGAACGCCGCATGTGTAACAGCTACTCTCGTTGCCATACTCAGCGTCAACTGCAAACTCCCCAAGCGCCATGTTTGCTAGCGTGGCAGTTTGGAGCCTGCTCATGCAAAGCTCCCAGTTCCAATGCAGATCCGGGTCGCAGTTGCAAAAGAAAAGCGCCGTGTAGTCACACGTGTACGGGATCCATGGTTTCTGGCCTTCCGGCAGCAGTGGGGCCAAAGTCTCCCAGAGCTGCATGTCGCCACACAGGGCAATGGCTTCGCGCAATGGCATGACACACTGGCAGCCCGGGATGGCACGATTAAGCTCTTGCAAAGCCACACCCGCAAGCAAGGCGGCTGCCAAGACATCTGGCGCGGAGACACTCACCAGGGCATTGCCGCAAAACGGAAAAAAGTCCTGCGAGCACCAGCGCCTCAGGGGCCTCTTCGCACGGTGCCGGGCGCAGCGCTCGGCCAAGTCCTTGTCTCCCATAAGGATGGCCAAGTCCAGAAGCCGCGCTGTGGCTTCGTCTGAGACCTCGAGGTTGCGGAAGCCCTCGCCCGAACGCAGCACGCCCAGCAGTCCCAGCAGCACACGGGCCACGGGCCGCTGGGCCGCCTCACGGGCGCAGGCGATTGCGTCGCCGAGCTCGGCATCCCAGTCCTGCATCCACACGCCGCTTTCGATGTCCCAGCCCCAGCAGCAGAAGCTGCAGGTGTCCCAGGTGCTTCCGCACTGGCAGCCGAAGAATCGAACAAGGGGGCTTCTTGCCTCGCTAGCAAAAGGTCCCAGGTGCCAGGCCTCCACCTTGCAACCCGGAACCTGCGTCAGCAGAGCGGCAGCCGTGCTCTGATGCCCAAATGCGATGCAAAGCTCGAAGATGTGCTTGGACTGGATGCCTTGGCTGAGCAGCTGCGTCTCACCAGCGAGGATTGCCCTTGCCACCTCAAACTCCTCGACGTCCACAATCCTTATAGGGACCAAAGGAACCCTAAAGCTACGATCATATTTCGGAGACCCTATACTAACATACATACCTGTATCTAGGGATATTTTGGACCAGAAGCCTATTGGCTTCATTTTGCCGCCCAGGATCACGCCATCGCTGTCGCAGCGCACGAACTGGTGAGCTGCCATGGGGCGCTGAGCAGGAGCCGCAAGCACTCCAAGGGGCGTGAACCCCGAGCAAAAAGCCTGCTGCACACGTGCATGCGCAATGTGCAGGTGTAGGGTTTACAGGGTATAGAGGTTAGGGTTTGGGGTTTGGGTTTTGGGGTATGGGGTTCGGAGTTTAAGGCACAGGCAAAGGCACAGCTCATTCATGCGTGGCTTCGTGCTGCCCTTGCTGTTGGTTTAGGGTTTAGGGTTCAGGGTTTAGGGTTTAGGGTTCAGGGTTTAGGGTTTAGGGTTTAGGGTTTAGGGTTTAGGGTTTAGGGTTTAGGGTTTAGGGTTTAGGGTTTAGTGTGGCTTTCTCCCCTGACCCAATCCCCCCGCCGCACGTGTGGTCCGGAGCAACCGGGGCTTCGGCCACGATGCCAGCATGTCCTGCGCAGCGAAAGAACTCCCTAAGGGGCCATGTACCTATATTGACCTATATAGTATATATTTGGCCCCTAAAGCTACTGTATAGGAACCCCTTTAAGGCCCAAGTCTGTACTATATAGGTACATGGACCCTTAGGGACTGTGCAGAAATTTGACGAAGAAATGAACCGCAAAAGGTTGATGATCCATCAATGCCCCTAAGGGTCCATGTACCTCATTATTATATACTTGGGCCCCAAAGTCCCTATATAGGGTCCCAAGGCCCCAATAGGGATCCTATAGTAGTTTTCTAGTAGTCTAGAGAATCGAAACTTTCGGGTTCGTTGGTTCGGGAACTTACATGCTTCAGCAAGCGCAACGACGACACCTGATAGCAAACTGTGCTGGTTTGTGTTGGGGTTCTGGGGTTCAGGAATGCCCCTTACGGCCAGCCTGAGGTCAAATGGGAAGCTTGCCCCCGCAACCCTGCAACATCCTATGCAGCGAAAGACCTGCGCACGCGTGGCACTGGACCTAACTTCATGACTGGGAGACCTGCATCAACCACCGAATGAAAGGAGGGACTTGACTGAACTGCATCGTGCACCCTGACTTCCCACCACCCTAAACCCTAAACCCTAAACCCTAAACCCTAAACCCTAAACCCCTAAACCCTAAACACCCTAAACCCTAAACCACCATGGCCCGCTTGAGGCTGAACCGTTCAGCAGTCCGGCAACTGACGCTCGAAACTTGGAACGCCGCGCCCACCTTGGGGGGGCGTTGGGAATCGTATGGGAGAAGAGTAAAAAAGGGTTTAGGGTTTAGGGTTTAGGGTTTAGGGTTCAGGAAAACATCGAGGACTAAACGAACCCTATAGCAGATTTTTGGTCCATATAGCCTGATAGGGATTATCGTCGTCTCGGGTAGATGGTCCCCATTTTGGCGTTCGTTCGGTCCTTAAGGTTGGGAGGAGGGGATTAGATTAGTGAAAGGTGACGGCGCTACTGGCATGAATCATCCTTATTGTTGCCCAGCTGGGCAAAATCTAGGAAGCAACAAAAGTCGAAGATGCTCGTCGCTGAAGCTCTCACTATGCCTTGATGGTGCCAGCATTTATGGCAGGCAGTATCGGCAGCGCGGACCTGCTAGAGGGCGGCTTGGGACGCCACACTAGCAATCGAATCATGAGACAACTGATATCATTATTCTGGAATCCTGGAGGAAACCACAGCGCATCATCTCAGAAGGAGCCAAGCCGCTTTGGCTGGAATATGGGCCCGCACAGTGAAACTCCATCGCACTCCTTCGCAGCCCCCAAAAACCCACAGAAACATGTGCCGCCCCAAGTTGCTGAACCCTCAGCTGACACCACAGACAGTAGCTGACTATACCTGCCAACCATCCCTCAACACGTTCATTGCCAGAGTTCTGTAACTAAGCACTTCGGGAAGGTAATGGGGTGGACTAGGGGAACCCGAAACGGTATGAACCTAGAAACCGTATTAAGCCCTGTTGAACCACACCCTTTATAAACAAAACCCTATATAGCCTACACTGTAAACACTATAAACCCTAAACTCTTCAAACAAAGGAGAAGAAGACTGGAAGCGAGCAATCTCTGGGCACCTTTTATTAGAACGGGTATGTTGGGGTAGTTTCGAGGATTTGGGGTTTTTGGTCTTTCAGCGAGAAAAGGATCACGAAGGGACAATACTACATTTATATAAGGAAACATCGACAGGATGAGCGGATCATAGTGGCTACTAACCCTAAGCCCTAAAACCTAAACCCGACACCCTAACCCTAAACCCTAAACCCTAAACCCTAAACCCTAAACCCTAACCCAGAACCCTGTCTGTGTTCCTGCGAAGATTCTTCGCGTGCGAGACAAGACCTTGTGAGAAGGAGCAATGAATCAATGAAGCCTCGGATCGCTCCAAGGGTTTGGGTTTAGGGTTGAAAGGGTTTGGGATTTAGGGTTTAGGGTTGTTAGGGTTGTTAGGGTTGTTAGGGTTGTTAGGGTTGTTAGGGTTGTTAGGGTTGTTAGGGTTCAGGGCTTTCGCGCTTTTAGGCTTCTGAGGGTCGGTTTAGGGTTTTGGGGGTTTTAGGGCTAGGGTTTTGGGGTTTAGAGCCGTCTCCCTGGACTCCTCCTCCGGCCAGTCTTCCACATCCTCCATCTCGCTGTTGTCGTCGTCCTCGCATAGGTGCAGCTTGTCGCGATCTAGACGGCTTTCATAGGTTTTATCCATCCTAAACCCCAAGCCCTACCTACACCCTAAACCTTAAACCCTAAACCCCAAACCTTAAGCCCTTGTAAGCCCGAAACACTGCGCGCTAAGTCCCTGGTCCAGTGCATCAAAGCTGTAGAAGAACATCAACGGATCTCAGTTCAAGGCAGGGTTCTGCTAACTCGCGCCAGGAAAGACTCGGCTCGAAAGCAGGAGCAGGGTTTACAGGGTTGAGGAGTTGTCTGGGGTTTACAGGGTTTCTGAATGATTTACAGGGTGTTTAGGGTTTAGCGCTTCGGGGCAACTGTGTATGTGCAACCCGCAAGTGAGGTAGTCAAGGGCTTCTTAAAGATCCCTGCTAGAAACCCTAATCTCTAATCCCTATAGATATCAAACTAAACCCTAAACCCTGCAAAACCTCTGAAGCCTATGGACCCTAAACCGAAAAGACCGTATAAACCCAAAGTTTCAGATCTCAATCTTCGATGCGCGAAGGCCTCAATCGACCTGTTGGAAGATCTATGACATCATGTTTCTCCATCTGACCCTCGATACCCGAAATCCTACCCCCCCCCCCCTCAACCCTAATCAAACACTAAGCCTCCCTCAACTCCCGAACTCTGAACCCCAATCCTTCAAACCCTTAAAACCCCTAAGGTCCCTAAACCCTGACGGAAGTCTTCATCATCCTACACCCTAAACCGCCTAAACCCTAAACCCTAAACTCTAAAGCCTAACCCAGCCCTAAGCCCTAAGCCCTAAGCCCTAAGCCCTAAACCCTAAACCCTAAACCCTAAACCCTAAACCCCTCATAAGTCCTCGTCGTCGTCATCCTGAAGGCTGCCATGGTCGGACGCCTCTTCCTCGCATGCCCCGTGGGTCGGAGACCCCCCTCCCCCTTGTTTCCCAAAGGAGGTCAGGGTTTAGGGTTTAGGGTTTAGGGTTTAGGGTTTCGGGTTTAGGGTTTCGGGTTTCGGGTTTCGGGTTTACGGAGCGAAACAACGTCTGAGAGGGTTCAGCGAGGTGTTTAGCCTTCTTGACGCGTTCTATCGGCAATTCGCAAAGTTGTGAAGACAGGAAGTGTCCACCTTGTCCATCTGAGAACTCGGGAAAGCCACCTTCTCCCCCCTAAACCCTGCACTCTACCGCAGATCTCTCGGCCTAAACCCTAAACCCTAAACCCTAAACCCTAAACCCTAAACCCTAAACCCTAAACCCTACATCCCAGAATCTCACGCCGGAAGCCCTTCTGAACCTGACCCTAAACCCGAAACCCTAAACCCGAAACCCGAAACCCTAAACCCGAAACCCTAAACCCTAAACCCTAAACCTCTAACCCTAAACCCTAGAGGGAGGAACCCCGAGAGGGCTGTGGTAAATTCGGGTCTCCCTATGGCACCTTTTCGCTTCTGCCAGGAACCAAAAGAAGAGAGCGCAAAAGGGGGGACCCTTGAACTCTTTACTTCCCCCCCGCCCCCATTTCGGGCAGTTCCCTAAATCAAGGTCCCTTAATATGTTTACTATATTTTTTTCCTTTTTGATTTTTGTTTTGTTTTGTTTTTTTGGGGGAGCTTCCTTTTGACTAAGGGAACTATTTTATTTTAGAGAACAAATTACCCGTTTCAGTGCGAAGCTTCTGGTGCCGCCGCGACTTCTTTGGCCAAGCGCGCTTCCTGCGGAGGAGTCTTACTGTTGATTAGTAGGGAATGGGGGAATGAGGTACCCTACACCCTAAACCCTAAACCCTAATAACCCTAAACCCTTCCCTCGTTCCCTGCCAACCAACAGCAAGGAGGAGAAGGCTGGGGGGGGCGGGGGATTCGGGAGATTTCGATGCCGCGGGCAAGTCCTTGGCGCCATGGGATCACCATGACTATACATATAATGACACAGTTATGTGTATGTGCACATATATATATATATATATTATATATATATATGTAGAGTATACTTACATTTCTGTATTATCACACGGATAATCTGGGGCTTAGAAGCTTCAAGGGCTCATGGAGTCCGAAATGAAAGGGCAACAGAAGTCACGAAACGGACCTCGCATCAACGTGCAGGGACACAAAAAGCGGCCTCCTCAGCGAATCGTCGCAGCTGTTCGGCCTGCGCTCTTTATGGTGGCCCTGCTTGGAGGTTCAGGGTACTTATAGTCGGGTTTAGGGTTTAGGGTTTAGGGTTTAGGGTTTAGGGTTTAGGGTTTAGGGTTTAGGGGATCAAACTCCCAAGGGCGTTTAGCAGTCAAGGTTTGGGGTTTAGGCTGACTGCTATGTTGGCTGACTCTGCAACCACAAAAAGAACGGTTTAGGCTGACTGTTCTTTATGTTGGTTGACTCTAACGAACTTCTGGAGGAGCCTAACGGACACGACCTGCTTT